ATACATAATCAAGATTTGACTACTCAAAAGTCATTGCCAGCATCCCATACATACATGAGTAGCATTCATCATTTCCTTTCCCACCATCCCCATCACACTCTGTGGCAGCACTATCATCCTTGCTTCTAGGCTTTTAACCTTTAAGTCTTCATCCACATTCCTCAATGTTTTTTGTCCTATCTAATGTATCCCCAAGAAACCTCATACTTAATTTTCAAGGTTGTCATCTCTTTCCTCTTTCCTATAAGTACAGCGCCTCTCAAAGCAGACTCTATATATAATCACCCATTCAATAGTACCCATGAACAAATCATATCTTATTTGTTCAAAATGAGAGGATTTTAAACAAAGGGTGGGAGGGGTGTAAGTATAATGCCTCTCAAAGCAGACTCTATATATAATCACCCATTCAGTAGGATCCAATAACAAATCATATCTCATTTGTTCAAAATGCTCTTGATTACTTTTTTTGTTGAGCTTTCTTAGAATAATCTACTCTTTCTCATTTAGGTACTTGAATTGTGAATATGGGTTTTAAGGAGACTGTGGATTCTAAGAAAACAAAAACCTCTGGCCAGGGTGAATAGAAAGGTACTGGAATCAAAAGCAGATATTCAAAGTATTAACTAAATCAGCATTGTGAGTCCTGAATCGAAGGAGGTTTGATGTATATTGAGCATGATATTGTACATGCAGGTGGATATATGTCCAATAAGTAGTTGAAAATTTACATTTGAATATCAGTTCAAGGTTGTAGCTAAAATTCAGATTGTGTAAGTATATATGGTCCTATTGTGATAACATTTTTTAAAAATATGAGAATGTTAATGCAAAAATATTTCATTTCCATGTAGTTTGCTAGTGGCTGAGATAAATTAAAAATTCAGACTTTTCTATTCATTCCTTTATACAAAACTTAGTATATTTATCATAAGAAAATAATCTTCAATTATTTTAGTATTGACAATTATAAAATTGTCAATTTTATAGGATTGAAAATAATGTTAAGGCAAAAAAATAATATTAAGCCATAATAAAACTGCTTATTTGCCTTCATCATGGTAGCAAATTTAAATCAGATTTAATAAATGACAGATGATTAAATAATAGATTTAATAAATAAAGATTTAATAAAGTACAAAGGAAGAAGTATGTGTATATGTAATAAAAAATGAGGTTCTGGTCACTTAGAAGGCTTTAAAAATTAAGACCCAAAGATTTTCAAAATTATACCTAATTTTACATCAAAACTCATGACTTTCTTTCTTTCCTCTTTCTCTATCACCATAAATAGTTTTATATTTGACTAGCTATTGTGGAAGTCTCTGTGAATATGAGAAATAAAATACATTTGAAATAAAACATATTGAGCTATCAGAGCAAGAATGAGAGAAATGTAGTACCACCACAATTCCTGAAATAGAAGAAAAAATATGGTGAGAAAAAGTTTGGTTGTCTGAACAAGCTGATTGTAGGAACGGGGTTGGAGAAGACTTTAGTTTGAATGAGTCACTCTCATCTCACATTTTAACACTTAAGTAGTACTGTAAGCATATAGCTAAAATATTACCCTATATTATTTTGTCATTATTTTCTCAACACATGTTTAAAACTGCTTAGAAATTATAGAGATTGCTAAGAAGGAACATCTTTTGCTTTTCTTTTTTTTTACTATTTTACTATAGGTTCTGGGGTGTATGTGCAGATCATGCAGGATTATTGCATAGGTTCATACATGCTAATGTGGTTTCCTGCCTCCATCCCCCCCGTCACCTACATCTGGCATTTCTCCCCATGTTATCCCTCTGGGACCTCCCCACCCTGCCACTGTCCATCCCTTGGCCTCCCGCAATAGAACACCCAGTGTGTGATGCTCCCCTCCCTGGGTCCATGTGTTCTCATTGTTCATCACCCGCCTATGAGTGAGAACATGCAGTGTTTGATTTTCTGTTTTTGTGTCAGTTTGCTGAAAATGATGGTTTCCAGATTCATCCATGTCCCTATAAAAGACACAAACTCATCATTTTGGAACATCTTTTTCTTTGTGAAGCTGCAGTGTCTGGGTTTCCAAGCCCAAATGTTATGCAACTCTCTAAGAACTACATGCTTGACAGTCCTTCTATGACAATGGAAGGAGGAGAATCAGAGGGAAAACTTATTGCAGTGCCAAATTTGAAGCCTTAGAAAACTGCTTTTGTTGATATTATAGAAGAAGTTGCAGAGCCACTTAGGGGATAATTCGGTCACTTCTCTCTTTTGTAGTGTGTACTTTTCAATTGTTATTGGAAATTTGCTTCCAGGTAAGCCTTCTGTATTTGTGGGCTGTGACAAAAAGCTTTACAAACTTGAGCAAGTAAACTGGATACTGTAATACCTTCCACAAAGTGCTGGGAAGATAAAAAATCAGGCTAAGTTTTCAGGAGTAAGTACATTTGTTAAATTCACTGAGCCACTGGGGAGAAGAAATCTCCTTGGGAGTAAATGCTTTCCTGAAAAAGTTACCAAATACATAGTCATTTGCATGCTAAAGTGCTACTAGTCAACAAGAGAAGGAACATGTGCAGTGGCATTTAAATGCTACTAAACTTTTGATGGACAAAAATTAATTATTATACAGGAATAGCATAGTGAGAAACACTCAACATGTTCAGACAGGATTGCAAAATGTCTACTGAAAACCAAGAATTTAGAGGAAAAATAGGCATTTCATATAGGATATTGAATAACTGGAGTCCATTATTCTAAGTGAAGTAACCCAGGAATGGGAAACCAAACATTGCACGTTCTCACATATAAATGGGAGCTAAGCTATGAGTATGCAAATGCATAAGAATGATACAATGGACTTTGGGAACTTGGGGGAAAGGGTGGGAGGGGTGTGAGGGATAAAAGACTACAAAATTGGATATAGCACATACCACTCAGGTGGTGGATACACCAAAATCTCACTAGTCACAACTAAAGAACTTACTCATAGTCAGGCACAGTGGCTGATGACTGTAATCCCAGCACTTTGGGAGGCCAAGGTGGGTAGATCACTTGAGGTCAGGAGTTCAAGACCAGCCTGGCCAACATGGTGAAATACTGTCTCTACAAAAATACCAAAAAAAAGTAGCTGGGCATGATGGCTGGTGCCTGTAATCCCAGCTACTCAAGAGGCTGAAGCAGGAGAATCGCTTGAACCCAGGAGGCAGAAGTTGCAGTGAACCAAGATAGCACCATTGCATTCCAGCCTGGGTGACAGAGTGACTGTCTCAAAAATAAATAAATAAATAAAATAATAAATAAATAAACAAATAAATAAAATAGTATTTAGTCCCCTGAAACTTCCCCTAGCTAACAGCAGTAACAATAATCAGGTTATGTTTAGCACGTGTCATATTTTAAAATCTATGACTTGCTGAAAAATTGTATTTTTGTTATCATTTTCAGCAACTAGTAACTGATATTTTAACAATATGCAATAAAATTATCATAAATGAAAATATGATTTGAAAGATGATAGTTGTTATTAATAATAAACACCCCCCCAAAAAAAAACCAGAGAATTTTAACAGCTAAACTTGAAATTTAAAGACAAGAGAGGCAATATGGAGAATCACAAACAATATTGTTGTTTGTTGTTGTTGATGTTGTCCTGGTTCAAGAAGTCATCATCTGCCTGGAAAAAAATTAGACTTTTATGGTGGGACTGGGGTGTACTGCAAATGAGGAAGGCCAGAGGCAGAAAGAATAGGTACATGGCTACTGCAATAGTCCCAGCAGGAGGTAATGAGATTCAGAACATAATGGCATATAGACCAGAAATAGGATGTGTAATTGTACTGCGAGAACATTTTGACTGAAGAAGAGGGCTAGTTTGGTGGCTACAGGAGTTATCTTTGAAAAAAAAGGAAGATATAAAATTAAGTAAAAGAGTGTCTTTGATGTTTGGATGTGACAGAGGGAGTAAGAATCCACCGAAGTTCTTAGCCATGGAGCGGTTAAAATACCTTGTGACTTCCATCACTGTCACTTCATGATTATCAGCTTTGTTTCATTATCAAAAGGCTTTAACCCAAGCTATTTCATTTTGACATGCCTACAGATCTGACATTCCTTGTTGCTACTAAAGGGTTAAGAATATATATTCCTCTTAGCTTGATTTCCCACCATAAATGAAATTTATAAATTATATAAATGCTAAATGTTTATGGTAGTTTGTTCTGGACATTACTCTCACATGTTTATTGACTACCTGGGGATTAGTAAGAATGGGCATTGATAAGCTTATTCTGTAGGTGAAAAGTACTGACTAAATAATATAAGAGCTATTTGCTTATCCTAAATTAAAATTCCCTTTTGCAAATGGCATAGTGGGCATATGTGAATGTTACCATGTGATATAATTAAAATATATAAATATAAGAGGGGTAAAAACGTCTACGTTAGCAATATTAATTTAAGTCTATCAGTGGTGAAAATATTTCTGGCTTTAAAAAGCACTTGTCATTTGGTTACATTAGAGAAATTCATAAAGTAAAATAAATTTTCCAAGATGAGAACAATAAAATTGAAAATAAGGTTAAAAGATAATTACAATGAGAAAAAATTCTGAAAAATAAATGCCATTCCCTTTGAAATATATTCACAGAAATTAAAAGCAGAAGCAAAGTTCAAATTTTGCTCATCACTTAACTATATTTAAACAGCTGCATGTATTTTTCAAGTCTTGACATTGGCAACTCTTCAATAGTGCAGAAATGAAAAGATTTCCCATAATACATTAAGCTATATTATTAATCAACATAAACAGCCCAAATATTAATACAATTTAGATCTTTAAAGACTAACAAAACTGTGACTAAATTAACATTGACTCATCTGTTGTACAGTAATTGCTAAATAACTGTAAAATACATTACATTCTGTTCATTACTGTTCCAATTATAATGTCCTTTTCTATGCATTTCTGTGTTCATCTACACTTATCTAAAAATAATGGAAAAACAGATACTTACCAAAATGGTGGTAACAATCAAAGAACGATTGGATAAGGAATCTGTGATGTTTGCTGGCTTTCCCTTTTGACTTTCTGTCATATTCAGGCCACTGGCTGGATCCCACGTTCCAATCTATAAAATAGCATATATACTTTGTAAATTGTCCATCAGGCACCTGGGAGAGAGTACTGCAAGATCAAGTTAAGACTGCTAACACTTATTATTCACCTCTGCTGCATTATCTCCTGTCATTAAAGTAAAGGCAGCTTGTTTTAAGCATGATTCACTGCTCTGTGAAGTGTGTTCAGTGAAGTGCAACATTAAAGAACAAAATGATCCACTGAACTTCTACAGTCAGCATGGGAGCTTAATTTTCCATTCAAGCTTTCATTCACCAAGATAAACCACATTTGATGATACCTTGATAGCTGGATAGAAACTCATTAATAGCACATATCTTTTACTGTAATGGATCTAACTCATCATCTCATTATAAATATAACATGCCATACAGACAAAGCTAAAAGATAAAGCAAAATCTAGGGATCCAAGGTAAATTAATAGGCAAAGGCAGGCTTACGGGAAGCATTGACTAGTATTTTGCACCACCCCTGGTAGGATAAAACTGTACCCAGAATTATCTCTGGAGATTTGAAAACACATCTTTTCACATTTTAAAATGCTCCCAAGAAAGGAGTAGACAGTAAAATCTCATCTGAATAATGCATTTCAATACCTTCTTCTATACTCCACTGAATATGAACTTTAATTTAACTACTACCTTCTGATAGATTAGGCCATATGTTCTCAGTGTTTAAACATGTTGTATTCACTAAACATAGCCTATGAGATAACACAGACAAGCCTCTTGAAGACATGTCACAAAATGCACAGATTAGATGGTTTAATGACAGTTGCACCATTGCTCTATTATATAACAATGATCACCAGTAAAGAAGAGCAGAGGCAAAAGAACATGTGAAATCAGTTCTTTTTCCTCACTGACTCAAACCTAGGAGTCATCAATAACAAAATGTGTCTTCCATACTTTCCTAGATAAGTATTCAATTTATTTTTTGCAAAGCAAAGGAAAGCTATCAAATTGTCTTTAAAATAAGTCTCTGTATATAAATTAAGTCTTTTTTAAATGACACTGATTTAGCAGGTGTTATTTACTCTGGTCTAATTAAATATGCTAACAAAGGTCCTGTCAGCATAACCTCTTTGCCATATTTCCTCATATGATGTTAATTTTCCTCTCACTATTAAATACCGTATATTCCTGATGTTTGTAAAATAATGCAGTACTGTTTCCAAACTAAATAACCTACTAGCCAATTATATTTCTTTACATTAGACTATGCTTATGACAATGTCCTAAAGATGGAGTCTAATTCTATTTCAGAGTCAATAATGAAAGGCTTCAGGGGCCAAGCAGGTCATATCAATGTGCAAAATGATCATGTACAGGGCCATAGTAAGAATTTCTATGCAAGGGTATGGAGTTTTTAAATTTCCCAAAATACCAAGGCACAGTAGAAAGTAGGGTCAAATCCTAATCCTGCTTTTCCCACAGCTGTGTGCTTGGGCTGCATGTTCCCAGAGTAGGTGCTTTAGTTGAGTCTCCAGTAAGGTACCACCAGGGCTAGTAGAGTGCCTGCTGGGCACCTGGGTAGGGAAGGACAAGGGGTGTCAAAACTAGAATGCCCGCTGACCTACTTAAAGTATTTCAAATTTAAAATCATTTGCAAATATCCTTTTGGCTAAACAAGATATATCTGTGGACAATATTTTGTGGTGAGTGACTGTCATTTTTCTATACCTGGTCTACAATTAATACTTATCATGCATTCATTCCCTCAGATTTTACTCCTTTTTTTTTTTTTTTAAACCATTGACCAAATAGCTTGGATTTTCGGATGTGAAGTTCTACCAGCCAAACCATTGACAAACATCATTTGCCCACTGTTGTCTATCTAATAAAATCTTAGAAAGTTTTCAACTTCCTAACCAAGTAACTAAAAAAAGAATTTCCCATTTCACATAATGCCACCATCCATGATTACTTTTATAAAAACAATTTAGCTAAACGTTCACTCATCATCTAAAAATACTTCTCTAGTTTCATTCTTGGTTAGTTGTTTTTCTAGTATTTTTGGAGTTCTGACACAAATGAATATTATATGAATCTACAATTTCCTATATTCACAACTATTTATCCTCTTTTGTAAATCTCAGCTTTCTTAGCATAATATTATGAAATTTCAGAAATATCAGTGGCTTTAAAATTTTAAGTCAAATACAATTTTATATATTCCTAGATTGTTGACTATAGGATTCAAAACTTTCTTCCACTGAGGAAATTGTCATCAGAGGTTTTGTTTTAATGGCAAAACCCATGGACTATGTAATGGCAAACTATTTTTCTCTATTTGGGAACCACTATTTTGTCATATGATTTGATCAAGTCTTTGAAGTACTTTTTTTTTTTTTTTTTTTTTTTTTTTTAGCTATGAAATGAAATTAAGATGCCTAAGCACTGTTGACTTTACATAATTGTATTATGCATGGTGGCTCTACATCCTGGTTTGCCCAGATACTGTCTTCATTAATACTCCTCTCTTGTACAAAGAAAAAATGTAATGATTTGCATGATTTGGGTAATAAATTATAGGGTCATTCTAAATATAAGGATTCAATTAGATATAAGGAATATGAATGTGCATCAAAAGTCATAGGAGCTATGGAAAATTATGGTTTGTTCATCTTTATCTTATGTTCTGATTGGCTCTTTAATTTCCTCTTGTGGTCAGAAAAAGTATACATATTAATTGTCACCAAATTATAAAATATGCAAAAGATATAAAAAAAGATAAATTTAAACTCTGAACCTATGAATACATCCATAGTCAAACATCGTTAATACTGTAGTGCCCCTTTTTTCTGTTATTTATCTTTCTTTACACAGTCCTTGCATACTTTACATCATAGCCTTGTAGTTAATGGCCCAGCTTTTGGACAGGGGTTTGACTGCCTGGATCCTATTATATGTCCACCACTTACCATCAGGTGACTTGGGCATATTACTTCTTTATGTCTCAATTCTCCCATCTGTAAATGGGAAATAATAGTATCTACTTCATAAACTATAGTGAAGATTAAATGAAAAAGTATTCAACACAGTGTGTTTATAAGTATGCTATAATTATTATGACAATTACTAATTATATTCTGTACATACACTATTGTGAGTATTTTCTGCTGGCATCAAAGATAATCAAAGCCATAATTTTAATGACTATACAAAATGATCATATGAACATATTGTGATATAACTATCATCATTACAAGGCCTTAATACACACATTTATTTATAAATATTTGCTCACACATTTTATTTTAAAAACAAATTTCTAGAATTAGAATGACAAATAATCTGAGTTGTTAAGATTATCACTACATGTTGCCAAATACCTTTCAAAAATCATTGCTCTACTTGTGATCTTTCTTCTTACAGTTCGTGGTAGTTTCCTTAAGACAACTATATAACAATTTAGCTTTTATTTTTAATAGTCTAAATAACATAATCAGATTATGTTATAGAGGTTTATAATTGTCAAGTCTTTTAATTGTAGATGGTGTTTTTACTGATAAAAATAACTTTTTATTCCAATTACTTTTTACCTAAACTTCCTATATATATTATTAATCACACTTACTTTACTTCCATTATTTGGGTCTTTGAATTTGCTGATATATCATCATATGTATTTTCACTGTCAACGTATTTGTTTTATTGTTTCTTTTATAAGCAACACCTCAGTTGATTTTTTCAATGTCCTAACTTTTTATCTTCTTGAATCTTATTTTTTTTAGCCTTATTCCTTTCACGCTGTTTAGTGTTCACTATTTATTTTCTACTCCCAGAAATTTTCCTATGGTAATTAGGAGATAAAATACATTTAAGTCTATGAATGTATTTTATCAACTTCTGTTTGAAATATTACTGTCATATTGTAAAACAAATATTCAGGTATAAAAATTGAAAAATCTACTCTATGAAAATTATCTATATTTTTTCTCATTCTGCTACCACACATACTGATTCACAGTTTTAGTTAATTTTTTATTGTTGTTGTTTTTGAGACAGAGTCTTGCTCTGTCCCCTAAGTTGGAGTGCATTGGCATGATATCTCGGCTCACTGCAACCTCTGCTTCCTGGATTCAAGCAATTCTCCCTGCCTCAGCCCCCGAGTAGCTGAGATCACAGGCAACCACTACCGCACCCAGCTAATTTTTGTACTTTTAGTAGAGATGGGGCTTTGCCATGTTGGCCAAGCTGATCTTGAACTCCTGACGTCAGGTGATCCACCTGCCTCAGCCTCCCAAAGTGCTGGGATTACAAGCGTGAGCCACGGAGCCCAGCCAGTTTTAGTTAATTTAATTTGGAGTTGTAAACACTGCCTCTCTTTACTTTGCTTTGTGTATTATCAATCATTTTGCTACAAGAAAAAAGTTGTAATTTTGATATAATTTGTAAAGCCATTATCAATGCTCTTTTTTAATGCTTAACTGAATTTGATGTTTACTAGGATACCCAGCCACAGACTCTTCCTTATTGAGCATTGTTTTTCACTTATCATTGTTCATATACAAGACAATTTATTTATAAAGGATAACCATATGACATATTTTTATGGTTGCGGATTTAAAAGTATTTTGTTGCCTTCTTTTATAAAGGAAACTTAGCTACATAAAGACATATCAGCTTTCTTCCTTCAGAGCTAAGTTTTATTTATTTTTCTCTAGTATTAATCTTGCTCTAAAAGACTGAGAGCTACCTTATATGTATTTTGTTGGTGGTGAATATTTTTGCTTTAAGTCTTCAGTATTATCTATTTGGAAACACTAAATCTCAACAAGTACACATATGTGTATATATATGTATATATTTGTAGATGTAGATGTATGCATGTATCTATATACACAGTACATTTATGTATATGCATACATAGCTTTTAAGTAATGTTATATATGGATGTATATATCATGTATTAACTTTTTGCAAAATATGTTACCTAGAGATTGAGAGAGAAAAAGAAATAATGGTTCTTTTCTTAAATTGTCAGAAA